TCCGAGCAATTCAATATGACTTTCGGGCATCGGGGTTCGAGCTTTCCTTCTATCAATGACTGTTTCGACGTCGTTGTAGTGTTAGCAAAAGCCTGCATCTCACAATGGGCTATATTACGGCGCATAGCTACTTCGTCGACCCTCCACTTGATTGCTGAGATAGCTATATATTTCATTTCACCATCTCGGGCACCTGGTGTCAGCAAATTCCGAATTGCTAGCTCCACGGAGAACATGGCTTTGGTAGTCGCGTCTTTTGGTCGTTGCTGTGATATCGTAGTTTGGATCATCAGAGGGGAGGCAGTGAACCGTCGAGAATAATTGCTGGGGAAAGATGTTGGTTGTATCAAGCGATAAAGAATGTCAAGGGTCTTGGACACACTCAGTTTGCGGCCAGACTCAAGGTCAATCGTGGCCTTGAGGTAGTAATCGACTGTCCCGAGCTCGGTTTTCATCGTTGGAGGGAGGCAGTTCGGCACCGGAATATTAAAGTAGTATACCACACCATCTTCCGTGTCTGTATTCCGACATGACACCAGTTTGTTAAGTGCGGACCAAAGAATACAGTTCAAAATAGTCTCTTCGTAGCCCGGTGCTACAAATTGCTTTGTCGTGGACTGTCGATATCGAAGAGTACTCCGCCAGCGACCCTTGAGGTTTGTGCGAAGTGAGCTATGGCCATCGAATTTCACTGATCGAACAAGACTTATAGTGATATTGCGTGCACTATCTGTCATGTCCATGTCCATGGAAGCCTTCCTTGAAAGTCGAACAGAACCCGGCAAAGATGAAGTATATGGTTCGATGCCCGGGCGGATGAAAATGGTGTGGGATTGGGGCGTATCGAGACGGAGATGAGGGTTGCTCATCGTGAGCAAACATGAATCAACTAAAGGCCGTCTGTATAGCGAGCCAAAAAGTCTGGTTGGGGGAACATCGAGAGCGCATCTCAACGATATGTGAAGCCATGCGAGATGCGACAATTCCAAAGTACAGTACTACGTGACTGCACTAGACCCGATTAGGAAGCCAAGCCGTAAGTTTAAGGTTTACATCCCCACAACCTTGATGCCTGAGTCCCCAAAGGCACGCCCGCGCTCTCTGGATCTTGTAGAGATTCGACTCATAACCAATCTCCACCTACCTCGCGACACCTAGATAGAAATCATAAGGAAATTCCAGTCATGGGATCTTGCCAGTGGCAACTGCTCATACCATATTTCTTCCACCGCCTCTGGGTCCTCCTCTGAGGTCAGTGCCAGGTCTGCTGGTGACGTGGTTTCAGCCTATTTAACACCTTAGGCAATTAAACATAAAATCGGGGCAAGTCCAAGGGAGTTATTGGTGCCTTAGGGTATCATAGTGCTGGGTGTGTCTTTAATGGTGTGAGGGAACATGACATGATCTCGGATCTAGCGATCCAGTCACCTTCTTGCATAGCTAGCTAGCTAGTCTATATACATATCAAGCTTCTAAAATATTATTGCCATAAATTGCGCTACACCTTGCCGGATCAAGTAAATGTGGCCAAGATGATAATAGGATGGTAGGATTCTACTTTCCCAGCAGATATATATATTACCCACTAATTGTCTGTGCCAGACCTGTAACACTAAGATAGATAGAAGATGTCCTGCTATGATAAAATACTAGATAAGACTGCTGTAAAACCAGGGACGTGAAACAGTAACCTAAATCATAGACTGACAAATCTTATCATTATAAAGGTCTACTTTTGTATGAATGGGTGTGACACGGGACGCCAGGAGGACCAGGCCTTGCATGTATTGCACTATGTATCCGGCGAAATTGGGAAGCTCATAGATGATCTGCAGGATATAACATGGCAATTGGTTAGGTTCAACTATCATACAAGATCTATTACCCTTTAAATATGAATAATGAGTAATTCACTAAAGTCTGCGATGTGCTGACTACGTAAATGACTCATGTCCCCAGTCAATACTGGCAAAGCGCCCTCCAGTCATCCAGCGATCGGATAATTTAGGCATGTTATGAGCAAACGACTAGAAGGCACAATACAAGCCTCACCGAATGACAAATACTTCGAAGCCTTTAAGGCATGTTTTACCTCGTGCGGAAGAAAGGGGCTATTATAATACAGGCAAGAAAATGACTCGGTCGATGCAATATTGACAAGCTCAGGATTCCATTTCATGGTAAAATGAAGCGAAAGGAACGTAAAACTAGAGTTTCACGATATATCGAAGATAATTGGACAAAAAAGGCCGACGCTCAGGTCTTGCCCCTTAACCCTTGGTGAGGTAGAAATATAACACTCCGGCTTCGTCTTCCTTTTTTGGCCAGTGAGCACCGGCAATGATGTGTTTATTAACATAGCGAAGGTAATCTATCCGTTGATGATCATCATATATCATAGCCATAGAGCAAAGACCGCGATAGGCGATTTCCAACAGCTTCAGCCATTCACATCAGTTGAGGTCAAGAAAGATGCAATAATCAAAAAGGGACAGACATGTAAGGGATAGGACCAGGAATTGGTGCGAAGACTCACAAACATGTCACCCCAATCGGGAAGAGACTTCTTTGTTTCACCATCCAATGAATACTTTGTCACGGACGTGTTGGAGTGGACAATCTTAATAAGAGGTAGGAGTCTCTCTGCTACCGACTCTGAAGGGTGTCCAGTTCGGAGTAAGTGAAGCTCCCATTTACCGAGCAGAGCTTCCGACTTTACAGCTTCTAGATGGTCGGAGACATTTTGTAGCTCAGATGAATCAAAGCTTTTTTGCTTCGTGATTAAGCAGAGAGAATATTACTCAACAGGCCTGTGAGAAATATGCGTTAGTATTGTGGGGCCTCGTATTGATTGATATAGTGGCAATACATTCGCGTCATGGTAAAGGTCATATTGAGTATGTACGTTGGGGAAATTGAAAGTAGAAATTGAAGCTGCGAGTTTTCAATTTCCTGGTATGGGCCATCGGGCTACACGTTCACTAGCGAACATAAATAGATTTCTGGCTTCCAATGCTTAGCAACTAAGGAGACAAGGCAAGGTCTTTATAACTATCAGATGGCTAATATACGTTGCCTTTCTAGTAGTACAACCCATAGAGAACCATGGTGTGTCCTTTATGATCATAAGTCAGCGAAATAATGTCAATTAGGAACCATATAATCCAGGAACCAGTTTATTTACCTTAAGACATGCTGCAGGTGGACGAAATAGGCGAAACTAGGAATGTAGGCCCGGTTAACATACAAATATTACCCTGTTTAAAGGTAATATTAGGAAGCATTGATTTCCACCAGGGGACTCAGACGCCTAATTAGGTGCCCGCTGCCTACTGGTTACGGTATCAGATAGAAAAGTAAGGTTCTGAGCGATCGGGCTGGGTAAACATATCCCTTATATGCTAAGTCTTCCGATAAGCCACTTTCACGCGACCCCATGGAGGCTGTTGTCTGCAGCCAGGCAGCGGTCAGCTGATCCTTCGCTTCTTCTTCCTGCGTGGTCTCCGACCACCACCTTTTCCAACCGACCACCCAGCCCCTTGGGATCTAAATAGATCAAAACCATATATCTTTGAGCCTTCATCTTGACGAAATATATTTCCAATTGCGCTTTTCTTCCATATGAGGTGGATAACTCAAGTTGTAAAAATATTGTAGCGGGTTATACATCGGATAAAGATCACAATAACTACCCTTACATACTTCAAAGCTACGTACAAGGATCAAGGCACTCAAGTCATGCGATAGCATAATAGACTTATGTCCAATAAAATATGAAAATTTGAATAAAATGTGGAAGAGTTTTAGCGATAACAATATGTTTTGGTTTTAGCTAGGGATCTAGTAGGAAGGGATTGCTTAGGCATAGTATATATATCAATACTGATGCTCCAACGATGGAGATATTGTGGGGATTGCAGTGTGGCGTGCTACCTGCTCATGTGTTGGTACAATGATTATAACCTACGGTTTCGCTGTCTGCACCTTACAAACCGAAGCGTGCAACCCCCTGGGGCTGTCATGTTGAGTAGTACCTCCAGTCTGGACGGGGGCGCCAGCGACTTAATTACCATCCTTACTGACCAGATTAATCCGATAGCTCATCAGCGTGTAAGCCAATATGTTCTTCAAGGCCAAGTTGGCCAGATGCAGGCCTTTGTATAAAAGATACCGCCGCCCCATCCGATAAACGCGTCCTTGTCCACGACTATTCGGCCGGGATCCTAGTGCCATGGATCTAGATAAAGAGTGCAGTTCAGCCCGGTATCGGTGAATGAAGGCATTAGATGGGATTGTATAGGCGCTAATGGGGAGGTCAGGTCCAATGTTACGCCGTATCGCTGTACGTGGCTGAGCTCGTCAGAGTGTTTCGCGAATGCGAAGATCCAGCTGTAGGGTTTGGGACTCCCACGCAGCGAGGGTGACGGCCGATAACACCCCACCTACACCTTCCTTCGATGGAGCTGATATTGTAGCGTAGCTTCTAGGCTCGTCTTAAATCTCGTGGAGTAATAATCTGAGCCCCATAATACATTATGGCAAATGTAATACTAACACTCCTCAACCTAGACATTTTCGTCTTGGCTTGATTACCTCCCGTCAGTTGGACATTGATCGTCATCAGGAATAGAACATCAGATTTTGGGTGAACATTTTGAAGTTCAATATTCATCCGGAAACCCTTCTTTCTGAACTCAATTGGGTCGTACAATCTAATTATAAAGAGGAGATTGCCAGGACGATGGATATCCTCTTACCGTCCTACTGAAGGTAAAGCGTAGAGTATGTGATAAGTTTCAATGGCTCAACATATTTCATATAATAATATGGAATAGGTAATATGAAGTCTATTACGTATAATAATATTGTAGGATGTAGAGCATCCATTCCTGTCACATATACTAGTCGTACTGTTGCATGTAAGACACTCGAGACGAAAAGCTAGAACGCCGACTGCACTGAGTCAAAAGCCTCAATATAAACACCATGTCACAACGAGGTCAAGTCTCAGTCGGATGGCATCCAGAAAACAGCTAGAATAAATTTAGGTACATGTGACTGATAACGAAAACCAAAAAGAATGGTAATATACGCAACAGAATTCTGCATGTACAAGGACTGAAGATGAGTGGTTATAGGGAAGATTGGAAGAAGAGTGAAAAGGTAATCACAGCAAAAGGAAGTCTGATTGGTCAATTCCATTCTAAGCAATATCTTCTGTGGCATTTCTTCCTCTGCATTCCCCAACATCGTCTCTAGGTGCTTGTCCAGAACACATACCGATTCGGAACTAATACCCACACAAACAGCATCGCCTATGACAAGCGTCCGGCAATCAGACCCAATTTCTGGGTTCCAGTCATAAAGTTGCGCGAAGGTAATGTCATACTCACTCTCAATGGCGGCGCATGAGTCGTGGTCCAACACTGTGTGGTACTTGTTGCAGTTACTAACACTTCCCGTCTTTGTTGGAGAAATGCTGACTGGTGCTATTGTTGTTGGTACAGGCCCATTGACGCAATATGCATAACCAAGCCACAGGTTTGTACAGGTAGGTCCAACTAATGCCAATCAAGTTAATCAGCCTTCAGAATGGTTCTTTCAATGAACATGGAGAATGTAAGTAAAGTGTGGACGGAGGGGAGACGGACTACTTGGATTCCATTCATAGAGCTCTTCTAGGGTGACTCCAAACTCAGCCTCCATGGTTGAGCAGTCATCTCCGTATTTAACAATGAAGAACTCCTGACATCCAGTGATGACACCTGTTTGGGTTGGTGCTGCAGATTCGGCTGTTTTTGTTGTAGTAGTAGCCGTAGTTGCAGTAGTGGTGATAGACGAGCTAGAGCCTACCCCAACACAAACGGCGCGGAGGTCGTTACCGGTGATATTCGCGTAAAGAGCAGTATCACAGTTGCCGCTAAGCCAGGGGTTCCATGTTTTCAGTTCGGTTGCTGTGATGTTGAAATCAGACTCGATGTCTTCACATTGGTAGTCTGCGATTCATAAGCATTTGCGCGCTGTATTTGATCTTTTCTATTATATGTCCGTGGTCATGCTTTTGTCTGTCAGGACTATAGGAACATACCTCCAACCAAGTACCCGTAGATCTGCGTGAAGCAATTGCAGTTCACCACCGTGATTGACTCTGTTGCACTAATTGGTAGGCATAATGAGTCGCGCTCGTTGTCAGTGTAATCACCATTGATTACTGCTTGGTACTGAAATTAGAGATCTCGTGCTAAAAAAACAAAAGCCAGTGAGCAAATAATGACAGGATAATCTCACAATAAGTACTATTGAGTAAAGCACAGTAACTGTATCCAGGTTGCAAGGCACATGTCGTCAAGTTTGTGTCAAGACTAGGGTTCCACGATAACAAGTTGTGAGTTGTGACGTCATATGCGTATGCGATAAAAATACAAGAATTGAGATTGGAGGTTGTATTGTCATAATTCACGTAGGATTGGCAGTTACTGATGGTCCCCGGTGCGGCGGGGAGGTACCTGGGTGTGTAAATAAATCCCGGGTCGCTGGTTATTATGGGAATCGATGTATCGACGGCAGAAAAGCTTGCTGTCGGCACGGTGATCCAGGGCGTGGTTATCGGATAGCCAGAGTAGGTTTTGATATTGCCTACGGCAGTGATGCAGTACGCCTGACCAAGCTCGAGATTTGTACAGTTGGCATCAATTTCGGGACTCAAAAAGTAGAAGTCTGTCAGCGAGATTGAGTTGACAACTGAGACTGCGCTGCAGGTGTCGCCTTCCACAACCTAGTTGCCGTTGGGGAGTTGAACTCTGATTACAGGGAGGGATGCACACCTACAGTGTACTACTTGCCACGGTATAAAGTAGATCCGTTAAGAGTATTTGTTGGGATAGGGGCAACAGTAGTTATGCCGGATGGATTTGAAGCAGTCAAGTTAACAGTGCCTGCGGTGTGATTGAGATAACCTCCAGGTGGACTGATACTAACATAGCATCTCGTTCCTCGAAGAAAGGGTGCAAGGCTAGGGTATCATATAGCACCCTATGCAAACAACATAGCCAATGTAGTTTACTGCGTTCCGACAAAGGGCGTTGAAGTTGGGGTTCCTTGCTAGGAACTGTGGCACTGTGACATTGGCGAGCCTACTGACGACATTGTCACAAGTTTCTTGCATTTGCCACACATAGGTGTCACATGTCGGTGGCATACATATAGTTGAATTGACCACCGTATCGGCCCAATTATGACAGTACAGATCCAGGTCCTTCATATATAAGAGACTGTCAGTGGACATGATGTGAAGTCCAGCGCCACAGATTTGCAATCATCGCTCGACTGAACCATATATGACACTGTACAAGTTGAAGATGCAGATGCCGGGACATTTGTTGAGCTAATCGATGCTGTGGCATTAATGGCATATTGTGTTGGCGTGGCATACGTGTCCATGGTGGCATTACAACTGGAGGTGAGCGATGCGTAGCTTTCTGCCAAGGCAGTGTCGTATCCAAAGGGGCTGGCCAGTTCCAGAGCTAGACCGCCTAGCCAGCAGTCAGAGCACAATTGGTGAATGGTCAAAGATTTGTTCGACCATGATGCAATGAGAGGGTCGCAAAATTTGTCAGTAGTTTCATCTGTTCTGCAAGATAATGATAATTCGTATGTGTATATGTAGTTATCAACGGTAAATGCAGGGGGATACGCAATTTTGTGTACCGTGATCACGTCAGTACTCAGAGTACACGCTGCTGCGATGGTGTTTCGAGCAGCTTCTAGTGACGTGTAGCAGCTGTCAACACAGACTGCGTTGACCTGATCAGTAGTCATAACGCCATTTTTGCTAGATTGGTCAGCGAACACAATATCTCTAATGAAGTGTCTTCTTTTGTGAGTGTGCTTCTCGGAGATAATCCCCAGATATGGTGAGCAAGTAATTTGTTGCTAAGGTGCCTTTACATAATGTACTGAGGCCAGTATAGTTCATAAATATTGTAGTACCAGCAAATTGTTGTGCCCAAGACAGGGGCAGAAAGCTTGCTAATGCCGCAGTAAAATATATTTATCATATTGCCGTAATGAATTTTCTACTCAGAAATAACTACATGAGAAGGGGAGTCGATGAACTGGAAATAACTGAACAATCCAGTCCATGATATAAGTTAGAGATAATAGTATGAAAGCTGTGCCATGTAGACCACCCAGTAGTATATACTCACAGTATCTGATCATGCATGAAAAGAGATTATATGTAGTAGAATTCAGAGACTGGAATTTGTTGAATTACTACAAGGAAAATACTACTGCTGTATTATAACATGAAGGTACTAGGATTCAGGGATAGATTTAGAGTAGACTAATTCTGGTCTTAGTTTAATAACAAATAAAGGGCGAAACTGTTAGCTGGCAAGAAGCCATTTACACATAAAAAATAAATACAGGAAATGTGTGTGAAACCATTAAATTTTTTAGTATATCAGGTAGTCGGACTATATCGATAAGTCTGGAGATGCCAGTCTCAAGATTTGAGGACTCACGGTATTTAATAGATTGAGCTTGACAGGGATCCAGGAAATGGGGTAGTAGCAACTTCCTAGAATGGTTAGTATATAGGAACTAGTATGATAAGCCCATGCTTGAAAGATAATGAAGGATTTTCATAGCAAGTCCTTCTTATCTAAGCCTACCTAAGCATCTCTATTTATTTTTCACCATTCTTTCAGGTTCATAGATCTCAGCTAATGTATTGCCCAGGAACTAATATTGATATATCAGACCCGTACTTTCCATATCTAATTTAATTAGCTACCCAGTCAATAATATTAAGGCTAATCCAGTTTGAACAAGCAGTTGTAACCTCATTACCACTATCACAATACTAGTATGCCCTGTGGAGAGACCAGCCCATGCACATTCCCATGGTATATAATATAGAAATGAATTCTAAAGCAGTTTTTGATTCAATCGCATCTTCCTTGTGGAAAAAAATATGAGGTTGATAAGTAAAGCATTTTTTCCTTGGCTGTGTTGTACAACTACTACTGCCGGAATTCCTGTAGTCATCTTATTTATAACAGCGCCTGTACTATGGCCTTGGGCGACAGTTTGTTCGGAAAGCCGCCTAGGAAACTGAAATAATTGGCTATCACAGCATTTCTTATCAGTGTCTTTGCCCCAGTTACAGCGGCGTCCTTACATAGACGCCTTCTGCGGGACAAGCATGTTGGAATCAATGCAAAACATATCCAGATTTTACCTCTGGATAGGAGTAGCTGTGTTATTGGTCCTCGAGACAGCTCCTCATGCGATGCCGAAAATCCATACAGTAACAGAGCGTGCTGCAGCGCGAGCGGCTACTGTGGTACCGGGTATTTTTTAAATTGTAATGTGACAGCTCAGTGTAGTTAATATGCTTTTATGCCTGGTCAAGCATTTCCTCTTAACCTTTGCTGCAGTGAGTGCAGATTTGTGAGACTTTCTTCCTTCAATAGTTGTTGATGATGCGATTAAGTGGACTGGCCTACCTTAATGCAGTATTACGTATAACTTTAGTAAGGGTATACTAACCGACAAGTCATTCACTTATCATTTCTACTAACTATAGCTAACATGAAGCAGCCGGATGCCAGAGCAACTGTGTCTTGAATCCGGGGCCTAATTTGGTAGTAAGGAAGCCCAGCACCGAATATCCGAGGAAGTCAGCAGTCATGCTAGTGGTCACTCGACTGGTCTGCTGCAGTGCATGTACGCTGCATGCGGTACTGCTTTTCAGCCGGTGACCATTTATTCCGCGCTAGCAGCTTGGTTTCATACTTTCTGGTGATAAACTCATCCGTAGAATTTGTTTTCCTACACCAGAGGGGTAATGACATTGCAGTGCAATGCTATTAGGGTGCGGGAACCCCAAATACTTTAATCCACTCTGATTGGTCAGATTTCTGGCAAAGGGGGGTGCAATGCTATTACATTCCTGACTGCAATGTTATTATATTTTGGAAAGATTTTCTGTTAAAATTCTATACCAGAGGGGTAATGACATTGCAGTGCAATGCTATTAGGGTGCGGGAATCCCAAATACTTTAATCCACTCTGATTAGTCAGATTTCTGGCAAAGGGGGGTGCAATGCTATTATATTCCTGACTGCAATGTTATTATATTTTAGAAAGATTTTCTATTAAAATTCTAATATGTTTGAACTGTGCCATTTATTTAATATTCTTCTAATTTTCAGCAGTATTACTATACTGGTAGAGTAGATAATTATATTTAAATTTAGTAAGTTAGTAAAGAAAAATATTTTTGTTGGGGTGATCTCC